TGGCTTTAGTTTGTATTTCAGGTAGAGTCTTGAGCTATTTCCCTGTCTGGCTTTGGCTACAAGTCTTCTACCTCTGACTACCCAAGTAGGTGGGATTACAGTATGTACCACCTCACCCGATTATTCTTTGAGGTAAGGTCTCCCTAACTTTTTGCTCGAGTTGGCCTCAACTACAATCCTCCTGTCTTCACTTCCAGAATAGCTAGTTACAGGGGTGAGCCACTATGCCTTGCTAGATAGAATCTTAAAAGCCATTTTTACTAAGTGAAGAGTTCACAAACAGGGACTAGAAAGTGAGCATTAAGAAATCAGCAAACCCTAAAGCAGGACCTCCCAAACCTTAACTGGCATAAGAATCACCTGTGGAATGTCGATTCTGATTCTGTAAATCTGTGGTGAAGACTGAAGCTCCTGTGTTTAGCAAGCTCCAGTAATGCCAACGTTGCTCTTCCATGCACCATAGTTGGAATAGCAAGGTCCAGTCCTCCTGCCACCTCTTTATGATTTACCTGAGGAAGACAGGAGGGAGGTTGGGACTGACCTCCACATTTTAGACCTGAGGACCAGTGTCTGCAGATCCTTTTCCTGGGATCCTCTTAGATTAGCTTCTGGCTTCTGTGTGTTCCCTTAATTTCCACAGTGTAAGAACCTCTCCTTCAGAGGGTGGGGGTGTATACTCACAGAACTGGATACATGTCCTTTCTCTGTGGTTCATTGTAAGTAGGTAAGACCAAACCTAGCATTTCCTAATTAATTATTTTGCAGTACTGGGCTTTGAACTCAGAGCGTCGTGTTTGGCCTTGGACTGTGATTCTCCTACCTATGTTCTGTAATTCTTGGGATTATAGAATGTACCACCATGCCTGACTTGTTTGTTGAACTATGGGGTCTTGATAACTTTTTGTTCTGGCTGGCCTTGAACTACAAGTATTTGGGATTATACGTGTGTACCACTATGCCAGGCCAAATCTAACATTTAAAATAGAATTTTAGAGGTAGAAGAACTCTTAAATCATTTTTTTCCAATTCCTTGATTTTGCTTAGTAGGAAATGGGTCCTGAAAAGTTTCATGACATGTCCAGAGTCATGGCCAGCAACAGAACTGGTGTAAAAAGCCAGATGTCTTTCGCTCACAGGTGCCTCTCTCAGTAGATTCAAGTTGGGGGCAGTGAGATGATCAGAATGTTGATTTGGGGACTGGTGGTAGGATGGAAGCTTTCCTGTGGTCTGAGGGAAATTCACACTGTTTGTACCACCAAGGTAGACCTCCTGACATCTCTGCAGCTCAGCAGTTCCTTGGTTAGGCCAGGGGTCTCAATGGCAGCACTTTTGGCATTTTGGGTCAAGTAATTCTTTATTTTGGGTGGCTGGACATTACATGGAAGAATGTTTAGCAGCACCCTGGCCTTAACTATTAGATACCCCTTCCCAAGTATCACAATCACAAAAATTACCTCCATACATTGCCATGTGGGGAAGCAAACTAACATTCACAGAACAGTGAGTTGCCGGCTTCATGCTTCCTCTGGGGTGTAGAACCCAGGCTGGACTCTGAAGGATGGGGCACCAGCCCAGGCTATTTTATGAGAAGGAGATTTTGCTGCCCTGGGCTTGGTTGCATAGCTAAGGATTGAGTAATTCTCTTTCCATCTTAAGTTGTTCTTATCTGCTTCTGCACAAGGAACATTCTTCCATTTTTGAGAAAAAAAGATTTTATCTGAATTTGTAGTGACACATTAACCAACAACTGTCTATACTTGAAGGGAAGGAGGCTTTCTCACAACTGAGTCTGGTAGGCTACCTCATTCTTTTTTTTTTTTCTGACTTGATTTTATTCTGTGATGAGATGAATCTTCTGATAGACCTTTCCTGACTCTTTTCTGGTGTGTGAAGCATTATTGTAAGATAGAGCAGTGCTGTAGTCTGTAATGTTCTGAGGCCATAGGTAAAACCCTTTTGTGTGAGTCTAAGAAAGGATCTTTACGTCTTTTCACTTCTCAGAATGCTTGCAATGTTTCTTCAGGCCATCGGGTCCCCACCTTGTGCTCAGCACTCGGTATCCCTAAAAAATACTTGACTATACAAGAAGTATTAGTGATGGAGTGAGTGGAACCTCCATTGCCTCCTGGCTTATATTATTTCTGACAATAAGTTTGCTCTAATTCTCTGTTCCTTGATATGCAGCGTGTCTGTTCCCACTCCCCAAATCCCAGCTGCTTTTAAGGTTTTGTTTTTATCATTGGTTATTATGTGCCTCTGTTTTTCTTTTGTGTTTCTGGGGGTTGAACTCAGGGCCTCATGCTTGCTAGGCAGGCGCTCTACTATTTGACCTACTCCCGCAGCCCTTTTTGCTTTGGTTATTTATGAGATAGGGTCTCGCTTTATGCTGGAGCCAGCCTGTACCAAAACCCTCTTATTTATGCTTCCTGCTAAGCTGGGATAAGAGGTGTGTGCCACCCACCGTACCCAGCTTTTATTGGTTGAAGTGGGGTCTCTTGGACTTTTCTGCCCAGGCTGGCCTCAAACCGTGATCCTCCTGATCTCTGCCTCCTAAGTAGCTAGGATTATAGGTGTGAGCCACCATGCCCAGCTGTGCCTTATGTTTTCTTTTTGTGTTTCTTCTGCTTGGGGTTTGATCAATTGTCTTAGAGATGTAGCTTTATCATTTTCATCAAATTTCAAAAATATTTGGCCATTCTTGTCCTGAAAATATTTCTGTGCCTCACTAACTCTCCCTACTTACTCCCTACTCCAGTTATGTCAGTCTGGTTAACATTGTCCTACAGTTGATTCTGCCCAGTTTTGTTCTTTTGGTTGGTCTTGTTTTTCTTTTTGATCTCTGTGCATATCATTTTGGATAGTTTCTTTTGCTATGTTTTTGTGTTCATTGTTTCTTCTACATCGTCTATCTGTCCTATCTATATTCTTTTCAATTCAGATATTTCTATTTTTCCCTCTAGATTTGAATTTTCTTAATATCTCCAAATTATCTTCCCATCATACTCATGCCTTCCTCTTCTCTCTTGGACAGATGGAGTATATTTATAATAGAATTTTTTTGAGACAGAGTCTCACATGGTGAGGCCCTTCCTCAGCCTTCTGACTGCTGGGATTATACGCATTGTGCCACCATGTTCAGCTCTAAAATAGAGATTTTTAGTATCTTTGTCTACTAGTTCTATGATCTGTGTAATTTCTTTTTCTGTTTCTATTTCTTGATTGTTTTCCTAATTCTAGATCAAATTTTTGTTTCTGTGTATGCTTGTTAATTTATTTTTTTTGTGGTGGTACTTGGGTTTGAACTCAGGGCCTCGTGCTTACTAGGCAGGTGCTCTACCAATTGAACTACTCCGCCAGCCCGGTGCTTGTTAATTTTTGGTTGGAAGCCAGAATGTTTTACCTTGCTGTGTGCTGAAACTTTTTGTTTTCCCTAAGTATGTACTTTTGGGCTTTGTTCTCAGAGTTACTTGGAATTGGTTTGATCCTCTCAAGGCTTGCTTTTCTGATTTGTTGGGGCTAATCCATGACAGCTTTTGGTCTAGGGCTAAAATGGTCCCACTGCAAGGGGACCTTCTAAAGATTCCACCCAAGATTTTTCTGCTTTTGCTGGTGGGAGCATGAACTAGCTTTGGCTCTGAGTGAGCTCTGGAGTTGTGCTGCTCACTTCCTTCCAGTGGTTATTTCCCCAGCCTTACTAGTTTCCTCACAGGCAAGCACAGATCAGTACTCAGCTAAAAACCCAAAAGGATGCAGGGATCTTTGAAGATCTCTAGAGACTTTTCTCTTTGCAGTTCCTTACTCTCAGTTACTTTGCCTTGCAAATTCTGGCCACCTTGGCCTCTCCAGGCTCCCAGCTTGACACAGATTGCTGCAACACTCAACAATGTCTTTCCTACCCTGTGGTCTAGAACTCTAGGAAGTTAGCTGGGACACTATGAGGAATTCACTGTGTTTCTTTCCCTTTTCTTAAGGATCAGTGCCCTGTACTAACTGTTGTCCAATGCCCATTATTTTTTCTGGCGTTCTAGTTAACTTAAAAAAGCAGAATAAATCTAGTTTGCTATTCCATCATGAATAAAGTGAAAGTCCCTCTAACAAGTGTGTAACCTTAGATGTCATTTCCTTCTTTGTTCACTTGTTGAAACTTGAATCTAAGATTTCATTGAGAATTCACAACCAAGTTCAGATCATGTCAGTTTTCCAGTTTTTGAACACCTACTGGATCCAGAAAAATAGCATGCCCTAGGCTCATGCTGCACATGGTATAATCTGCAGCTTTACTCATTTTGTAATGCTGTGCTTTCTTAGCAGACTTGAGTGTATGTTTCCAGTTGTTACCCTAGTATGAATGTGGCATATGGACACTTGGAGCCTTCTTCCTGTACTTCTGACCAAGGACTTATTAAAACCAAGGAACCAATTGAGCTAACTAGTCACAATGAGCAAACAGCAAGTGCTTAGCTGTCTGCTTATCCATGAGACAGGACCAGACAGCCCTTTGTGGGACAGAGGGGAGAGTGTTAAGTCTGTGTGTGGTTGGCCCCTCCATCTTACTTGACCTTCTCTCTGCCAGATATATATACTATATATATTTTTTAAAATGTGTGCATTAGTGACTCTGCAATTCTGTGAAGTATATGTGACCAAACAGAGGCTCACAGCAATAATGCAGCATGCCTAGGCTCTTCAAGAAGCAAAAGGCAGAGTCCGGATTTTGAACTCCCCCTTTGTGTAACTCTGAAACCCACACACAATTCATTAGACCACACTGATTGACCCTATAATAATCTGTTTCACTTCCCTCTTCTGGACTCCAGTCTACCTTCCTGTTTTGTCTTTGACACATTGACTATTTACTGTATATCTCCTATGTCTTTTCACTTGCTTCTTCATATTTTAGTTCATTCTTTTTTTTTCTTTATTTCTTTTTTTTTTTTTTTGGTGGTACTGAGGTGTTTGAACTCAGGGCTTCGAGCTTACAAAGTAGGTGCTCTACTGCTTGAGCTGCACCTCCAGCCCATTTTGCTCTGGTTATTTTGGAAATGGAGGCCTCTCAAATGATTTGCCTCGGCTGGCCTTGAACTACGATCATCCCAATTTCAGTCCCCCAGGTAGCTAGGATTACAGATGTGAGCCACTGGCACTTGGCTCAGTTATATCTTTATGCGTCTTTTACACATACACAATACACAGAAATGGGTTAACTCTTAAAGCGTTTGTGCTTTTATACTTTGTATCTCTCTAATGGACTCTAGTACTTATAGGTAGGTGCTCAATGTATGTGTGTGTTAAATAAAGTCAGTGAGTTCCTTAAAGTGGATTAGAAATGAGTTCAGAAACTGTCTGGAGGGAAATACCAAATTCATTCACTAATTTATGATGTTTTTTCTTCATTGGCTATGTGTGTATTATAATCCCTCTTCCCGCTGAGTAGACACCATGAGTAAAGCACACCCTCCCGAGCTAAAAAAATTTATGGACAAGAAATTGTCATTGAAATTAAATGGTGGCAGACATGTCCAAGGAATATTGCAGGGATTTGATCCCTTTATGAATCTTGTGATAGATGGATGTGTGGAGATGGCAACTAGTGGGCAACAGAACAATATTGGAATGGTGGTAATACGAGGAAATAGTATCTTCATGTTAGAAGCTTTGGAACGAGTTTAAATGATGACAGTTCAGCAGAGAAATCCACGTGCCCTCTCCAAAGGGCCTGTTTTACTATGAAGTAAAAATTGTGTTGTGTACATTTTCATATTAACTTTTTTGTTAAATAAAGTTTTGTAATAGTCAAAAAAAATAATCCCTCTTAATATTTTTCAGGGTATTATTCAGACTTTATGAAGTATTTTTCCTCCTCCTCATTCCTCCCTGCCCCCACTTTTTTTTTTTTTTTTTTAATTTATAGGCAGTGTCTTGCTATATAGCCCAGGCTGGCCTTGAACTCATGGTCCTCCTGCCTCTGCCTCCCCTGTGCTAGAATGAAGTTCTTTGTTGGGTGCCTCTGACTGAACTTTGACATATTTGAGATTACTTTTGGAGTCTCTATTTCAAGATTTAAGATGAATTAGCCTAATGAGATTCCTCTCCATTCTTGAGTTAAGGCCCTAGGTGGAGGGAACTGATGTGTGATTGGGACTAGGACAAGAACATGTGGGTCATGGTGGAGGACTTTGTGCTATTAGGGGTCATGCAAGGGCATAGCTGGGGGGCAGGACTATGGGATTCTTTGATTACAGGGAAGGAACAGTTGGCAAGTTCCTATTTCTTGTTTTTGTTTGGGCCTCATTGTCCACCCTTGACAGCGTACAGGAAGTTTAGGTAATTTGTGAAGAAGAGGACAGGAAGAATCATGGTTTGGTTGTAAGTTAGGAGGCTTACTGGAACTTAAACAAGATGGAGAGTATGTGGGGCTAGAAAACTGATTTCTTGTTTGGCTTGAGCATGCACCTCATTGGGGCTGTTAAGCTTCAGTAGATGGAGGTGAAGACCTGAAGTTCGGGGAAAAATACTCTGGTGACATTTATGTAGAAAGGAAATGGCAGAAACTGGAACCATATTTGTGGAGGGCCCGAGGTCTGAAAGGCATTAGGGAGGTCACTTCTTTGGCTCTGCTATTAGGTTGACTGTTTTCCCCACTAATGAATCCTGAAGAAGTGGTAGCAATTCAAGGGAGGGAATGATGAGCTGGAGACGCTTTTTTGTTTTTGAACACTAAAGAAGTGGGCTCCTGTCTAATCTACACTCCCAGCCTTTTGCTAGCTTTTGCCAACTATTGTGTGTGGAAATGTTAGTTCAGAGATGTTCTCCCTGGGGTTGTCACAGTCTGTTGAAAGTATAGTCTTTTCTAATAAGCTTTACTTTTACTTTTACTATTTAAAAAAAAGAGAGAGAGACACTCTCCCTGGGGGCTCTCTGAACTCTCTGGCCAGTTCAGGAGGCTTTAACTAAAATAGCTTAGCTTAGATACAAATCCCTTCTATTTCCCTGTCTGTCTTCTCTCTTTCCATCCCCTCTTCCAAAATAGTTTTGCAATTATTTTGTCCACTTTTTCACTTTGAATTCATGTTAAAGTTGATGTGATCGTTCTTCACTCTAATGAAACTTCTCCCCATGGGGTTCCCAGTAATCTACTAGAGGTTTGATCTAATGAACCTTTTAAAGTTTTCGTCTTACTGGACCTTTTCTGCATTTGCTATTCCTTACATCTTCATTGAATCTGTCTCTCTCTGCCCCTTTCCATTTTTTTAAATTGTACTGGGGTTACATTGTGACATTTACCAAAGTTCTTACAACATAGTTGAATTCACCTCCATCATTTTCTTTTATTCCCCCTCCCTCTATTCCTGAAATAGTTTCAGTAGGCCTCATTTTTCCATTTTCGTACATAAATACATAATATTTCTAGTACATTCACTCTCCTATACCCTTTCCTTATATCCTCCTCCCCTCCCACTGGTGTCAATCCCCAGATGACCTGTTTTACCTTCCTGTTCTCAGTTTTTGAAAAAAGACATTTTTGTTTGTTTAGGATAGATATATAGGGAGTCTCATTGTGGTATTTCCTTGTATATATTATAATCCGAATTGGTTCATCCCCTCTATTTTTCTTCTCTTACCTTAGTTCCCTTATTGTGATTTCAATAGGTTTAAAAATTCTGTATTCATTTTTGTATAGAAAGCACATCAGCCATATTCACCATATTCTTAACTTTCTTCTTTTGCCCTCTCTCTTTTCATAATATTGCTTCTATTTGTATTAGGCCTATGTTTTACATATGAGAGAAAATTTGTGGCCTTTAGCTTTCTGAACCTGGCTTACTTAACTTAAGATGATGCTCTCCAGTTCCACCCACATACCTGCAAATGACAAAATTTCATTCTTTATGGCTGAATAAAATTCCATTGTATATAAATAACAACTTTTCTTAATTCATTCATCAGTTGTGGGGCATCTTGGCTATTTCCATAGAGTAGCTATTGTGAATAATGCTTCTTTGCCCTTTCCTTGACATCTGTGATGGTCAGGATCTTGGTTTCCCTGTACTTTTTGGAGTTTCTTTGATGGGCTCTCCTTCCTTTGTATGCCCTTTACAAACTACTGTTCTTTCCAGGTTTTGGTTCTTTACTCTCTTATGTTTGCACCCAACTCTCTTTCCTAGGTGAGCTCATCTTTTTCTTTTTTTTTTTTTGGTGGGACTGAGGTGTGAACTCCGGGCTTCACATTTGAAAAGCAGGCACGATACCACTTGATACACACCTGCAGTCCATTTTGCTCTAGTTATTTTGGAGATGAAGTTTCACAAACTGTTTGCCCAGGCTGTCCCCCAACCATGATCCTCCCTATCTCAGCCTCCCAAGTAGCGAGGGTTATTGGTGCGAGCCATAGTGCTCATCTGAGCTCATCTATTTTTCATGGTTACAACCAGGGCAGTGTCTCAAGCCTGGTAGGCCTTTCAACTGGATGTATTTCAGGTACCTCCAATTCAACATGCCCAAGAATAATCTGAAATTCATTATATTCTATGTCCAGAGCTGCATGTTCTCCTGTGTTCTTTTTCTTCTGTGGTAGCTTCTGCCATCTTATTCAGTCACTTAGGACAGAAACCTAGGCATCTGTTAAGGTTTGGGTGGAGGTGAGCCTTTAGGTGGTAATCAGGATTAGATGAAGTCCTGAGGATGACAACGTATGATTGCATTAGTGACTTTAGAAGAAGAGGAGGAGAAGATCTGAACTAGTATGTCATGGGTTGCTATGTGATGCTCTGCTGCCTTGGGACTCTACAGATAGTCCCTACCTTCAAGAAGGACTCATTATATGTGGCCGCCTGATCTTGAACTTCCCAGCTTTCAGAACCATGAAAGACTACAGTCAGTTATAGCAAGAGAAAACAGGTTAAGACAGCATCTTCTTTATTCTCATTCCATTCTATTTGTTTTTGATATCCTCTATAACATTTGTCACATCAAGGACACTGAATGAATGAATGAATGAATGAAAACATTTATTGTTTCATCTGAATTTAATTGTATTCAGTACCTTGCCCTTGGTAAAGGTGATCAGTCCTGGTTACACTCACTTTTGGAAAGGGCTTTAGGTCTTTGGCCACATTAAAGTTGTATCAAGAGGGCTGGTGGAGTGACTCAGGTGGTAGAGTGCCTGCCTAGCAAATGAGAGGCCCTGAGTTCAAACTCCATACTGCCAAAAAAAAAAAAAAGAATATAAATAAAGTTGTATCAAGGAGATGACTCTTTTAAAAAGAAATACCTGGCCGTGCAGCAGTGGCTTACACCTGTAATCCTAGCTACTCCAAAGGCAGAGATCAGGAGGATCACTGTTTGAAGCCAGTCTGGGTAAATAGTTTGTGAGACCCTATCTCAAAAGTACCTAACACAAAAAGGGCTGGTGGAGTGGCTTAAGGTGAAGGCCATGAGTTCAAGCCCCAGTACTGCCAAAAAAGGAAAAAATATGTGCTGGGAGGATTAGTTATTGTTAGAAATGGGTGGATTGGCCACCACCCTTGTCTTTTAGGGCTGCCCTAAGCAGCTGCTGGGGAAATCCTTCAAATAGTTAAAGGTGAGGTGGGTGAAATCAGATTGTGCTGGTCCAAGAGGCGCTGTCCTTGGTACTCATGGGATACAAGCAGTGCATTGTGGGTGCGCTTGCTGCAATGCTGTGGGTTTAATGTAAGAAATGGGTAAGACTTCCCATTGGGGAGAGTGATAGATTCCATAATCATATCCTACTGTTCCTGATGTCAGACCGAGGGTATATGTTTAACTGTTATGCTTTGCCTAGTTTCTCCCTTTTCTTGTCCAGCACCTTTAGAAAGTGACTTAAAAAAATCGTAGGCTTTGGAGCCAAAGAAGCTCTTGACGTAGAGATCATGTGTTCCAGCCCTATGTTTTCAATGATAATGGATGTGATGACTGTAACAGTAATTACCATTTGTAGTACTTGACTCATAATGTGCCAGGCATTATGCTAAGTGTTCATGTACATTTCCCTATATGGTACTTACAAAGTCCTGTGAAATAGACATTATTGGTGCCATTTCACAGATAAGGAAATTGAGATCCAGACAGGTTGGGTAACACGGGTATTAAGATTATGCTGAAGCGGCTATTGTGCAAAGATGAAGCATCTTGCTTACTCAAAATCAAATTTTCTAGTTACAAGCAAGACATAAGTAGAATCCCGGTCTCTTGACTTTGAACTCACTTCAGCACATATTTTTTTGTTTTGACCTGAGGATTCATTCTCTGTGGTCTTATTGTCTCATTTCTTGTTATCTGCCCCTTTTAATTTCAGTGAAATTGAATGAAATAGAGGGAAAGGTGGTTTGGGATTGGGATTTTTAGTGAGCTTTTAAAGTTTATTTTTAAATAGGCAATCTTCCCAGACTGAGAGTGTAGCAGAAGGCCTGAGAACTAGGAAGTGACACAGACCTGTTTATACCATCCCATTATAGGGCCTTTGGAAAGCCATCCACAGAGATGGTAAAAAGTAAACACAACTGCAGCAGCCCTTTCCCTTGGGTTTGCTATTTTTGACCTGGAGGAGGTGTTTCCTGAACAGTTCTAAGCACTTAAAAACCAAAATCTAGTTCCTAAACATCCTCTCTCATGAAGGTATATAGATATAGTCATCTGTTGTTACCAGACAGCAACATTCAGTGGTTCTAGGTAGACCAAATGATCATACACACCCCCAATCTTTTTTTGGTTAATTGTTCTTGTATTTATCTTTTTGTGAGTTATCTTCATGCAAAACACTGTCCTGGCAGCTCGCTAATGTGTGTA